CCTGGACTGTGGTTAGGGATGATGGAATCAAACATTTAAATAATTACATATTCCCTAAGGCAGGGGTAGGCAACCTTGGTTCTTTTATGACTCGTGGACTTCAACTCCCAGAATTCCTGAGCCAGCATGGCTCAGCTTGGAAACTTCTCCCTTTCCCCTCAGCATGGCTGGCTCAGGAATTCTGGGAGTTGAAGTCCACGAGTCATAAAAGAGCCAAGGTTGCCTACTCTGGCCTAGGCCTAGGCCGCTTTATGACTTGTGGACTTCAACTCCCAGAATTCCTGAGCCAGCATGGCTCAGCTTGGAAACCTCTCCCTTTCCCCTCAGCGTGGCTGAGTCATAAAAGAGCCAAGGTTGCCTATCCCTGCCCTATACCATGTCAGACAATGCTGGCTTAGTAATATGCAGGCTCTCATCAGCTCCAAAATCCAGATTCTAATAAGGAAAGGAGCCTTCTGCAGAGAGAGCCTGTTCCTGGAAGCCGCATCAAGCAACTACCAACAAACCCCCTGGCAAAGGATTTATATACAGTCCTCAACTTACAACGCTTCATTTAGAGGCTGTTTAAAGTGATAACAGCAGTGGAAAAAGGAACTAAGGACTGTTTTTCGCACTTACGATGCTGTAGCATCCCGATGGTTACGTCATCAAAATTAGGAAGCTTGGCAAGTATTTATAATGTTTGCAGCGTCCCGGTGTGTGTGTGTGTGTGTGTGTGTGTGTGTGTGTGTCATGATCCCCTTTTGCGACCTTCGGACAAGTAAAGTCAATGGGGGGAAAGCCAAATTTCACTTAACAATTTAAGAAGTGCAAGGATTTCCTTAACCGCTGTGGCAAGGAAGGCCGTAAAATGGGGCCAAGGTCACATTTAACAACTGCCTTGCTTAGCAACTGGCATGTGGGGAGTCGTAAGTTGAGGACTACCTCTACTGGAGTGCCCTATTTAGGCAGAATGTTTTTCCACGCCTTGCTTGATTCCGAGCACCAGATGGAGAAACCAGTTGAACTGCACAGTCCAGCCTTTATCTCGGCAAACCTCAATCTGGTCGAGGAAATACTTCTTCGCGTCGTCTTCGTGCTTGCCGACCGTCAGCGCATCACGGATATATTCGATGTCTTCCTTGCTGGTCAGCTGGGGCATCCCCGTCATGAGCATCATGGAAAAGAGGATGATGAGGAGATTGCTGTGTTTCCGAAGAGCGAGATAAGCCCGCACGCAAATATCCTGCGGAACAATCAAACAAAAAAAAAACATATCCCAGTCAAATGTTTTCTTCCTTCGAGCCGAAGAAGACCCAAATTACACCAATAACATCTTTCGTTTTGAATTAAGAGTTGGCTTTGCGTGGTGTTTTTTTTTTTTCTTCTTCTTCATTTTCTGGTTGCAGCCTGGATTGTGATCCTGAGGAAAAACTTATAACCCAAATGCAGTGGTGGGATTCAGCCAGTTCGCACCACATCGAAAGAACCGGTAGCTAATTTTTTGTTGGCCGGGCCCAGAACAGACTTCCGGAAGCGGCATCCACGCAGAGAACCGGTTGTTCACCTATTTGAATCCCACCACTGTAGATAGATGGATGGATGGATGGATGGATGGATGGATGGATGGATGGATGGACGGACGGACGGACGGACAGACAGACAGACAGACAGACAGACAGACAGACAGAGACATATAGACAGACAGACAGACAGACAGACAGTGGTGGGATTCAGCCGGTTCGCACCACATCGGCAGAACCAGTAGCTAATTTTTGGTTGCCCAGGCCCAGAACGGACTTCACCTATTTGAATCCCACCACTGTAGATAGATGGATAGATGGATAGATGGATGGATGGATGGATGGATGGATAGATAGATAGATAGATAGATAGATAGATAGATAGATAGATAGATAGATGATAGATAGATGATAGATAGATAGATAGATAGATAGATAGATAGATAGATAGATAGATAGATAGATAGATAGATAGATAGATAGATAGATAGAAAGAAAGAAAGATAGATGATAGACAGAGACATATAGACAGACAGACAGACAGTGGTGGGATTCAGCCGGTTCGCACCACATCGGCAGAACCAGTAGCTAATTTTTGGTTGCCCAGGCCCAGAACGGACTTCACCTATTTGAATCCCACCACTGTAGATAGATGGATAGATGGATAGATGGATAGATGGATGGATGGATGGATGGATGGATAGATAGATAGATAGATAGATAGATAGATAGATAGATAGATAGATAGATAGATAGATAGATAGATAGATAGATAGATAGATAGATAGATAGATAGATAGATAGATAGATAGAAAGAAAG